CTTCCATATCCGATTTCCTTGTTTTAAAGTCTGATGAGTGCACGTGCACGTGATGAATTGTCATGCGACAATGTTTTCTGTTTCAAATGATATTTGATAAGAATTCATAACATCTCCGGACAGACATTCCTTCGGTCTATTATTCATGTTCGTGAACTATGTATGCAGAATATACACCTATCTTACAATTAGCTATAGAAATTATTCATCTTCTGTTAGATTCAATGCAGTCAAGATTTTTTCATAAAGTCCATCGTTCATCCAATTGAATAATTCATTGTGTAAAATCAGACAGATATACATTACCTTGATTAATCGATTGATCAATTTCCATCCTTTGACGATTTCCCACACATGAAAAAAATTCCGAGAAAAACCTAACAAATTCGATAGAAAATTCTATTCAATTTCTATTAAACTTCTACTGAAGTTTCTAGGAGTTTTCAGCAGATTCCGCGCGGAATCCCGCAGCTTTACTGCGTGGTTCTTTAAATAGAAAATATCCTATTGAAACTATTGTATAGAATACAATAGAAGAATTCAATTCTCAATTTAAAGAAGGATTTAATTTTTTTCAGTAGAATTTCGTCTTTCTATACGACTTTTCCTATTGAGACATGTTCTACAGGAATTTCTCACAATTTCCTAATTTTTTCCACTCTATTTTTCGTCTGTTTGCATTACAAAATTTGGGCAGAAAAACTTGAAAAATTTGGGTCGAGGAATTTCTATAGAACATATCTCAATAGAATAAGTTGTATAGAAGAATCGAATTCTATTGATTTTTTCTATAGAATATTTCCTAGTGAAAATTTCCATTGTAAAAAAATGCGCATATAAGTTGCGGAATTGTTCTATAGAATCGGGAAGGAACTAATAGAAAGTTGAATAGAAGTCCAACAGAATTCCTAGCGAATTCCATAGAAAATTCTATGGAATTTCTATTAAACTTCTATTGAAAATTCTACTAGTTTTAGGCCAAATCTATTCGTAAATTTTGCAGTTTTATTGTGCGTTTTTTATAGAAAACGTCCAATTGGAATTAGTTCAAAGAAACAATCAGTAAAAATTCATTTTTCTATACGACTTTTCCTGTCGAGGCATTTTCTATAGAAATTCCTCACAATTTCCTAATTTTTGCTACTTTATTTTTCCGCTCTTGTCATTAAAAAATCATACAGAAAAAATTTGAGTCCCAGAATTTCTACAGAAAATATCTCGGTATTCGGAAATAGTATATTTCGTTACGAGTGCAAAAAAGAGCCTTCAGCTCGTGCTATAAACCTCCCACGATCCAAAAAACACTTTTCCCACGAGTATTGAACGATATTTTTCATCACAATGTGTGGAAAAGGGACGTTTTAGGCGAAGCGTGCCTAAAAAGTTACTTTTTCGCACAGCGTGATGAAAATTATTTTCCGTTATACTGCGTCCGAGAGTTTTTAGCCAGACAATTCTCTTGACATGATTAATAAATTCCTGGATAAATGTTTGATAAAAATATGAAGTCAGTGTAATCTGAGTTTTATGTACGAAAACTTATCTATACTGTTTACTGTCTGCAAATTAAACGTTTAAGGTTTAAAAATGTTTAATATAAAAACTATTTCGATAGAACGAGTTCTATAGAAAAATCTAATTCTATAAATTGTGCCTATAGAATATTTTCCATTGAACGTTTCTGTTTAGCTGCTGAATAAACTGCAGAATTCTTCAGTGCAATCAAGAAAAACTAATAGAAAGTTCAATAGAAGTACAATAGAATTTCCAATGAATGCGCTAGGTTTTTCTATAAAATTTTGTCATACGTGCCCTTTCCTCTTCAAATTTATTTTCCATCTTTCTGGAGAGCTTTCGTTATTTTTCTTGCGCCATAATTAAATGTTCATCATCACATTCCTCCCGTCATATCTCCATCAGTGGCATCTTCATCCGAGTCACTGCAGTGAAGGTAATCAAATTTGCGTAATAACGCATCGAAAGTGAATATTGAATAATCGAAATAACTGTAATTCATCGTTACGCATTACCTCTAGACGCACTGAAGACGCTCGTCATGACGTAGCGGGGAGTCCCGTCCACTCATTTTCACATGATTACCATAATTGGATGGCTTTTGCAACGGAATTGTGGAAAAGAAATACGCGAGGCGTTCATAACGATTCCGTGGCCTTCTGACAATTAACGGTTCTCAGATTAATCTTTTGGTTATTGTTTTGTCTCTGACAGGTTCAAAGATTAACTCAAGGTCACATGAGATTACTAGAATAATATCGACGTCTGATGAGAAATCGTTTTTTTTCTCTTTCAAAACTGAAAACAGTGTGAAACAATTTTGTGTACGATTGTGTGACCTCTGGGGCTAAATGCACTGTCATGATTCACAAGGTTGAGATATGAAAAGCTAAGCCGCGTTGAGTGCGATTACTGAGAGGATGGGTGACAAGATGTGCTATGGAAATGGAAGAGTGCGAGGCTCCCGGTAAAAAATCGAAAGGGGATTCCAGCTGAGGGACTGTCGGATGAGAGTGTTTCTATTGATAATGCAGTTCACTGTACATTTTTCCCACTATTTTAAGTCTTGTATTTGACCAATTTTTCGCTTTTCTAATTGTGATTGCAAATGGTCTAGAATGTTATGAAATGTGAAGAAATGATGTTTTTTGAGTCGGTTTCGGACGTCCGAAGGGTTTTCTCCCCTTAATATGATCTAATTCGACTTCACTTTCATCGAATGAACGTATGGTATAGATATACTAGGGGGCTTCGCCCCCTGCTCGCTTCGCTCGCCAATCCCCGGGGGGGCTTCGCTCTCCCCCCCCCCCNCCCCCCCCCCAATCTTCTTTGGTCTGTTTAGGTGTTCGTATTATATAGAAAAAAAATTGATAGAATAATTGACCTCCTTTGAAATATTGAGAGTTTTATTACTTACAATAGGCTACAACCAACGCTTTTTGTCTTGAGACTCACATTTTCATTTTTCTATTTATTCACATAGAATAGGATGAGCTATATTCTTTATCATTATTTTTCAAGGATTTAATCGCCATATAATCCTCACGTGATCCCATATGAACTTATAGAGATTTTATCATATTAAAGCACTAGAGATTTCAATTTACTTTAATATTTGATGAAATTTCCAATATGAAAGAATATCTCTCCATATAATAAAAAAATATGGAGGTTTAGAAATTCAGGATACGCTCCTGATTCATCTCATGAGGGTCATAGATAAGGGTCAGAATCAGGAGCGCATCCTGAATTTCTGAACCTCTTTATAACGCAATTGATTAGTGAAGGAATCGGCGACGGTGGCCGAAGTGATTAAATCGCTCGGCCGGATGACGTGACTCGTGAGGCGTGGGTTCGAGTACGGCTTGGAGCAATTGGAATTTTTTAATCTTTCGGAAACCTTCGAACGGAAGTCTAGACACCGAGAATCATCGAAGTGTGTTAAAAAAACATTCTCTGATGAAGCTCGGTCGATGGACGGCCGTGTCCACCAAGGTTTTCCATGGTTTCTCTTGGTCACCAGGAGAGTCTGTACGTGGGGTGCAGCTCCTGAGGTACAATGCGACACGGTTCGAGAGGAAGTTGGCCCATGGAACCGCAAATACGTAAAAATTTGAATAGGGTATATATGGCAAGGATAAATGAATCTCTAGTGAAAAAATTTTATTGCATTTAATAAAATGATGTCGACACCATAATAACAAACAAGCGTATCTACACACAGGGAACTCATCGCACTTACGCGTGTCTGTTATTAAGGTGTCGATATAAAAAGATGAATTAGATACTATAAAAGCAGATGATGTGCAAAATGACCATTCGGAAGTATCTAATTTGTTAGCAAAAAAACCATAATATATTAATATAAAAGCGATTTCCCACTTGCTATTTCTGGTCATGCGTAAATTCTTTATGGGTAAAAATCTTTGCTCGCATTATTGAATTTTTCTGGTAGAGTAATCTCAAGATTTTACGGGTACGGAGAGGACGGAAGCCGTAAGGGGCGTGCGTTCACCCGTTTCTCACGGAGTGCAATGTATTTTTAATATAAGAGGCCTCGGGAGGAAAAAAAAATGTGTTGGAATACAAGGAAAACTTTACGCCATGAATTCTCAGCGGAAAGAGGATGAAAAAATTTGAAGGATTGCTTAAAAAATTTGTTATGTTTCTAGCAGCTGGACGGAACGATTTGACGGTGATCTGGAGATGATGAATAACTTCAAGAAATTCTCAATGTTTCACAGTTTTTGTCATACTAAATATGTCAGAATTTGCCATATTATGACATTGTTTGACAAGTATCTGTGCTGAAAAGTCCTCGAGAAAAGTAAAAATATTACATAATCTCCATGTTATAAAAATTCAAATCGATTTCCGGCGATGAAAATTTGATACTCGAAATTAAGACTTCAAAATTAAGGGTCACAAGGGTCAAAATAAGCGTCACAAGGTTGATGGGGTCATATGGGGTTTAGCGAGCAGAGCGAGCAGGGGACGTAACCCCCTAATCTGTCAAATACTGACATAATATTTAGATCATATTGAAGAGCCCGCAGGTAGAAATGAGAGTTTATTAAATTAAAAACGAGGCAAGGAGAAGTACAAAAAGGAGAGGCGATAAGATAAAATAGAATGCATGAAACTAATTGAGTGACACTAACTTCAGAAAAGAAATTCGGAGGAAAGAAAAGAATGCATAAACGGTAAAATGGAATTGGGAAAATTAGATTCACTACAATATGATGACATACTTTGACAGATTCTATTATACTCAATATGTCAGACCTGTTCTAAATTCACGTCATTCATCGTCAATTTCTGACCAGAAATGTAGAATTCGGACAAGATTTGACAGAATCGGTCAACTTGATAGATCATTCTGTATTCAGTTGATTATTTTGTATCCATGGATCATAAATTTTTCGAAAAAATTAATAGCTCATAAAAATGCCTCATGAATCTTAAAAAATAACTCTCCTCCACAGTTCTTGAGTACGTGGGTCCAAAATGGCGTACCTTCGTAGCAAACATGTCAATAGCCTTGTTCTTCACATTCGCGGCATGCATTCTCCCCTGGATTGCATATTTTCTCGCTGACTGGCGAATGACTTGCATAGCAACATCGCTACCACTATTGCTGGCAATTGCAACACCCTGGTTTGTGCCGGAGAGCGCCAGGTGGCTAGTGAGTATGGGTCAAGTCGACAAGGCTGTTAAGATCTTGAACAAGTTCGAGAGAATCAATGGAACACGAGTGCCAGCCAGTGTATATCGCCGCTTCAAGGTAATTCTTATATTATCATGATGGATTTACTTAATCGATTTGAAGTTACAATGATTGATTTTTTTTTCGTTGTAGGAGAGCTGCGAGAGAGCAAAGAAGGCGGAGGAAGCTGAGAATGGATACTCTGTCATTGATTTATTCAAGACTCCACGACTTCGTAGTATTACAATTTTATTAATTATCATTTGGTGAGTACAGTACCATCTGATATTTAGATTTCATCGAACAGTTAAGTTCTAAACACTAATTTCTGTTCATTTTCATCGAATTTGATAGGCTATTTTTTTTAAAGTACAATAATAACTCTCGTACGTTATTATTTCTATGTAGTATATGTACAATAAATCCTCCGTAAGCGTTCTTCTTCTAATCCTGGTGGCTTTATCCCCTCACTGTGATGGGGGCAAATGCCAATTCAGTGGAATCTAGAATTCGCATACTGGCAAAACACATAGGATCTAGGTGTTTGCATATTTTCGCTCTAGATATTCGCATATTATGAACCGCCCTCTTATCCCTTTTGTAATTAATCCCCTGTTTCTGAGACATGCGTGTAACCTAATGCGCACATCTGGTATTTCAAATTCGATTCAAAGTCGATGCATTGAATAATGAGAAATGTTCCAATGAATCTGAGAAACTCTGAAGCTATTGAACTATCTCCTTTAGAAATGCAGAACGTTTTTTTAACAAATGATTTTATCGCCTCATGTTTGTGCCAGTTTATCTAGACACATGAATAACAAATTTGTCTGCAACTGAAAATTCTCAACAAATACTTTAACAATGTCTCGCAAACTCAATGTATTCCGACTGATTGAAGAGTGAAGCTGTCAAATTCATCAAAGTTACCCTGAGGATAGGTCATTCCTGCATTTCCGAATTATATTTTGTTATGTCAATTTTAATTTTAGTTCTACTGCAAACGTCGTCATTATTAAGGTAGTTTATGACGTAATTCATTGTGATACTCGACTCCAATAAATATAGATCACGTGAATACTTTGTTTAATGAATTATATTAATGAATTTTTGATCAGTGTTCATTTTCAAGTTAAGAGAGGTACCTGGTTCATTCTTATGACGCTTCTCAATCGTCCCGCTCACTACTGACATCTGATTGGTTTATTAGGACGAGCGCCAGGGAAGTAGAGAGCAATGGAGGGGATGAAGAGAGCAAGAGGGGAATTACGCAAACAGTTAGGTCTTGCGGTGCAAAAAGTATGCGAACTGCTGGATACCTATTGCTGGATATCTACTGTATTCCGCAAGTATTCGCCCCCAAAGAGCTCACTGTCTAACGGCGTGAAGAGAATCATTCCCCCACCAATCCATTCCCATCCGCACATGTTCTCTCTCGAACGTCGCTCGTTCTCTGTTCAATGCACGTGAGCTAATGCGCAGTGATTTATCTGAATTTTGTTACTTCGCGAGTAACCACCCTCGGGGCTCTTCCCCCACCAACGGTCTCACATGTCTAGCCAAGCGCTCTCGCTCTTTCACTAGCAGGAGTGGGGCGCCAGCATAAGTGCTACTTCGCAGTAATCTATCCCCCGCAACTGAACATATTGTATACACTGATAGAAAGGATTAGTTATTGTTAACGAATGGATTTGGTTGGAGATGAGGGTCTATTTGGTTTCACCAAATGTCCATTTGTTAATAGTTAACAAATGCACATTTGAGGAGCCTTGTTTGAATCCATTTTCACTTTTTAAGTGAACCATTCGTTAATATAGTTAACGAATCTCGTTTGGAATAAATGAATCAGTCTATCAATGTACCGACAGGGCGATACTCCTGAACCAACAACTAAGCTCACTTAGATTACTTACGACTTTCATTTTATTTCATTTATTAAATTGAATTATGCGAGTTTGGTTTCAAGATTTAACTGTTTAATAGAGATATGTGATATTTACCATTGATTTTGTTTCTTGAGTATGTTACAAGTATCTAGAACTCTTGCTTGTTGTTAAATACAATTTTTGTGATTTGTTCATGCGAATGATCAGTAAATGTCTAGAGTTGAAATACTTTGACGAGATATAACTTAAAACGATCAGAAATTGTGTATTAAGTTGGAAATGATTGATTAAAAATGGATTGAAAATGCTTGATTTGAATTAAAAATCTGACTAGATTCACTTGAGTATTTCACAGGGAGAAATTGATTCGTAATATTGCATGGATGGGGCGTTTGGTATGTGATTACTGACTGCTCGACGAGGGCTGATCGTTTTGGTTTTCAACGTGTTGCTGTGATGCGTCCTTAGGGTTGTTGATACAACCCTAACTGTTGTTAACGCAACAGGTATAAGGCCTTTTGGAGGGGTGCTTTCAACTGTCGACGGTTGTCGCACAGCGGATAAAATAAGATATAGTTTCACTTTTGAGTTGAACTCGGGAAATACGCAAATGTTACAATTTGTATAAACAGTGGAATTGACTGCTACAGACTCATGGAATTCATTATAATTAATGTCTCCAAGTGATATTTTTAAATTACTGATGAATGATTTATAAATTGAATTTTTAATACTCCGTTGCGACCCAACAAAGCACTTGCGGAGGATTTACTGTATAATAGACATACGCGAAGATGGGTCGAATTATTAACCGAAGGCCTGCTCTGGACAGCTTGTCATTATAAATATCTGTTTATTTTGCTCGAGTTTGATGAATTGCTTTTCTCCAACAGGATGGCAATATCCCTCGTGTTTGACGGTCACGTGCGTAACGTCGACAACCTCGGGTTAAATGTCTTTGTGACGTTTACAATAGCAGCAGCTACTGAATTGCCTGCGGACACGTTATTGACTCTAGTCCTTGATCGATGGGGACGCAGGTGGCTTGCTTGTGGCTCAATGGTCGTTTCTGGTATATTCAGCATCTGGGCTTGTGCTGTTACAAATAGTGAGTCGTGAACACTTGACACCTTCATATTTTCCTCTGCTGACTTACACATATTCCACTGCGTTTCGAGGACCATTTCAGCTTTTATTCCCGCAATCTTGACGGTCAATTCCCCATCTTGTTGTCTGTGTGATGAATGTAGTCTGAAGTTCATGTAGTACAAAAATTCCAATAAAAACTTTAACCATCCTTTAACATTATGCTCAATCCCCAGACATGTATGCAGCGTCCCTAGCGATACTGGGAAGATTCTGCGTGAATATATCATACAACATTGGCCTGCAGTACGCGGCCGAATTGCTGCCAACAGTGGTGAGGGCTCAGGGAGTCGCTCTGATTCATACGATGGGATACGTTGCCAGTATAGCAGCTCCATTTGTCGTCTATATTGCCGTTATTTCACCCATTCTTCCTCTTCTCCTTCTTGGATTATTCGGTATTGTTGGGGGAGTTCTCGCCTTGTTTCTACCAGAGACTCTTGATAAGGACTTGCCACAAACTCTGCAAGACGGGGAGGAGTTTGGGAAGGAACAGGGATTATGGGACATGCCATGTCTTATGAAGTGAGTATCTCTTTATATAATAATTTTGTAAATCAAGACAACACAAAAATTTTCAGGCTTCATATGGGGATCGTATGCGGGTCATATGGGGGTCACTTTATATATAATCCATCATGATCATTTCGTCGCTGTATAGCCAAGGGGGCGTATATTCTTTTTTAATCGTGAAATTGAATTCACCGATTTTTTCCAACGTTTTTCACCAATTAATTTTGATAATGACAAGTGGGCGCATCTCCAAATAATGAGAACAAAAGGGGTGTATCGCCCTTATTGATTATTGATATCATTGGCTTCCGGATGAATGTTGCGTTTTTTCTATAGAATTTCTTTGGCGTAACGAAAAAATTATATAGAAAATATCTCAATAGAATAAGTTGTATAGTAGACAAATCGAATTCTATCAACTTTTTCTATAGAATATTGTTCTATAGAACATTTCAATAAAAATCCAATAAAATTGTCTAGCGAATTCGCTAGGCTTTTGAAGAAGAAATCTCAAGAATTATATACGATAGAACAAAATCATGTGCGAAAGACCATTCGAATGCAGATTATTAATTTATGAGTAAAAATAACTATACCATACGAAGACAAAATCAATTCCCTGCTTGTTTTCGTTACAGAAAAGCGGAAGACGAGAAACAGAGGCCCGAAATAATCAGACATTACAGGACAGGCAGCTTGAGAAGTAACTTCGGCACTTCCCTACGTGGTGAAGCCTTCAGAAGCAGTATGATCCAGAGATCCAGTATTAGGTCGCGCAAAGGCATCCCTAGCTCACCTGTCGAGGTCGTTAGGCTGTGATTTAGCGATAAAATACAAATTGTAAAACTTTTTTACTTTCCAATTTCAAGAGTCAGGAATAAAATATGTCTAAGAGTATACATAATATTTGTAATTATATTTTGATGGATCTTTTGTGACTATGGAAGCAAAAGGAAGTGGTGGGTTGAAGAGTCAAAGGGAATTGGGTGATTTCTTAATGTTCCCATGTGAGAGCATTCATAGTCAGGGGAAGCCCCGATGAATACGAATGTTACGCCTACGGATGTAATGGACAAAACTGACCGGTCGATTCATATCGTCATCCTTTATCAAAACAGATATGAGGGAAAAAAGTCGAACTGGAAATATCTCTAATGATATATCGACCCCTGACAGATTGATCGATGGTCGATCATTGGTCGATGGTTAGTCGATCAACGGTGGTTCGTTGGTTGATCGATGGTCGATCAATCGAACCTTGATCGACTATCCTCTTTGGACTAACGCTAGACTACGTGGAAAACCCCCTTATCGAGTGATCCGTCAGGTACAAGCTTCAGGAGGACATCAACAGATGGCATGGAAAAATGAGCGCTGTGAACGAACATTTTCATTAGCGATTTTTGCGAAAATGAGCGCGAGTTTCAAAGCATATCTCTAGCCTGAAATAACGAGCAAATAATGCACAATAATCTATCAGTTGATATTGTCTGTTTCTGTCCACACTAATTTGATTATCACGAAAGAAAATATTGTGAAATCCATGTAAATTTACAGAGAAACGTAACACAAGGGTTGCAAAGTTGCAAAATAAACATGATGTGGAAGTGTCACGTGACTCCGAGTACTGCACTCTGATTCGCCGAAATCAATAAGTCGTTTTTAAATATTTGAGAAACATCTTGTTTTCTTACCAATTTTACAGAACTTTCAAATTCTCTAAAAAAAATTGAGGAAATTTCCAGATTTTATGGAAAGTTCAGGAAAATTTTCGAGGTTTTAGAAAAATTATAAGTTGACGAAATCGTCGAATGGAATTGTGGAAAAATGATGAATGAGGAGGAAGCCTCGAAATTGCTGTAAAGGCATCAGCGTTGGTTAGATAATTTCAATAAAAAATTATTGAATGCGTCTGGTAAGGATCAAAGTGGAACGGAAGAGGGAAGCGAAGACTGGAAAATTCTGAACATGAAGTTTCATGAATATTCTTTCACATTGTGCCCAAGCAACGCTGCAATTCCTGTTTTAATTGAATAAGATTTTAACGAAATTTTCACTGAATACCCTGGTGGATCAGTCCGAGACCAGGGATTCTCGGAATGGACACTCATTCGACTCTCGGATTTTCGGAGGTTAGGGCGCCAAACTCCAGTAAAGACTCTCATCGGAGAGTGCATCCGAGAGTTGTTTATGCCTTCACAAATCAATTTGTTTATTAATTGAGGGTGCATTAGATAAGTTGAAAATCCTTTGTGGACCCAATGTAGGTAGAGAGGGTAATTGAGGGTCCCTTAAACATTGCTGAAAGCAGTCTCGGATGGAGTCTCGGACGAGAGTAGCGATACGAGAGTGGTTTATTAATTGACGAATGAGTTTGTTAATTATTTTTTATTGATTGGGGGTTCTTCAGGTACTAAGATAATGATTTTTCAATCGGCTCACGGCAGAGGGAGGAATGGGGGGTCCCTTGAACATTGCGGAAACCAGTCTCGGATCGAGTCTCGGACGAGAGTAGCGATACGAGAGTGGTTTATTAATTGACGAATGAGTTTGTTAATTATTTTTTATTGATTGGGGGTTCTTCAGGTACTAAGATAATGATTTTTCAATCGGCTCACGGCAGAGGGAGGAATGGGGGGTCCCTTGAACATTGCGGAAACCAGTCTCGGATCGAGTCTCGGACGAGAGTAGCGATACGAGAGTGGTTTATTAATTGACGAATGAGTTTGTTAATTATTTTTTATTGATTGGGGGTTCTTCAGGTACTAAGATAATGATTTTTCAATCGGCTCACGGCAGAGGGAGGAATGGGGGGTCCCTTGAACATTGCGGAAACCAGTCTCGGATCGAGTCTCGGACGAGAGTAGCGATACGAGAGTGGTTTATTAATTGACGAATGAGTTTGTTAATTATTTTTTATTGATTGGGGGTTCTTCAGGTACTAAGATAATGATTTTTCAATCGGCTCACGGCAGAGGGAGGAATGGGGGGTCCCTTGAACATTGCGGAAACCAGTCTCGGATCGAGTCTCGGACGAGAGTAGCGATACGAGAGTGGTTTATTAATTGACGAATGAGTTTGTTAATTATTTTTTATTGATTGGGGGTTCTTCAGGTACTAAGATAATGATTTTTCAATCGGCTCACGGCAGAGGGAGGAATGGGGGGTCCCTTGAACATTGCGGAAACCAGTCTCGGATCGAGTCTCGGACGAGAGTAGCGATACGAGAGTGGTTTATTAATTGACGAATGAGTTTGTTAATTATTTTTTATTGATTGGGGGTTCTTCAGGTACTAAGATAATGATTTTTCAATCGGCTCACGGCAGAGGGAGGAATGGGGGGTCCCTTGAACATTGCGGAAACCAGTCTCGGATCGAGTCTCGGACGAGAGTAGCGATACGAGAGTGGTTTATTAATTGACGAATGAGTTTGTTAATTATTTTTTATTGATTGGGGGTTCTTCAGGTACTAAGATAATGATTTTTCAATCGGCTCACGGCAGAGGGAGGAATGGGGGGTCCCTTGAACATTGCGGAAACCAGTCTCGGATCGAGTCTCGGACGAGAGTAGCGATACGAGAGTGGTTTATTAATTGACGAATGAGTTTGTTAATTATTTTTTATTGATTGGGGGTTCTTCAGGTACTAAGATAATGATTTTTCAATCGGCTCACGGCAGAGGGAGGAATGGGGGGTCCCTTGAACATTGCGGAAACCAGTCTCGGATCGAGTCTCGGACGAGAGTAGCGATACGAGAGTGGTTTATTAATTGACGAATGAGTTTGTTAATTATTTTTTATTGATTGGGGGTTCTTCAGGTACTAAGATAATGATTTTTCAATCGGCTCACGGCAGAGGGAGGAATGGGGGGTCCCTTGAACATTGCGGAAACCAGTCTCGGATCGAGTCTCGGACGAGAGTAGCGATACGAGAGTGGTTTATTAATTGACGAATGAGTTTGTTAATTATTTTTTATTGATTGGGGGTTCTTCAGGTACTAAGATAATGATTTTTCAATCGGCTCACGGCAGAGGGAGGAATGGGGGGTCCCTTGAACATTGCGGAAACCAGTCTCGGATCGAGTCTCGGACGAGAGTAGCGATACGAGAGTGGTTTATTAATTGACGAATGAGTTTGTTAATTATTTTTTATTGATTGGGGGTTCTTCAGGTACTAAGATAATGATTTTTCAATCGGCTCACGGCAGAGGGAGGAATGGGGGGTCCCTTGAACATTGCGGAAACCAGTCTCGGATCGAGTCTCGGACGAGAGTAGCGATACGAGAGTGGTTTATTAATTGACGAATGAGTTTGTTAATTATTTTTTATTGATTGGGGGTTCTTCAGGTACTAAGATAATGATTTTTCAATCGGCTCACGGCAGAGGGAGGAATGGGGGGTCCCTTGAACATTGCGGAAACCAGTCTCGGATCGAGTCTCGGACGAGAGTAGCGATACGAGAGTGGTTTATTAATTGACGAATGAGTTTGTTAATTATTTTTTATTGATTGGGGGTTCTTCAGGTACTAAGATAATGATTTTTCAATCGGCTCACGGCAGAGGGAGGAATGGGGGGTCCCTTGAACATTGCGGAAACCAGTCTCGGATCGAGTCTCGGACGAGAGTAGCGATACGAGAGTGGTTTATTAATTGACGAATGAGTTTGTTAATTATTTTTTATTGATTGGGGGTTCTTCAGGTACTAAGATAATGATTTTTCAATCGGCTCACGGCAGAGGGAGGAATGGGGGGTCCCTTGAACATTGCGGAAACCAGTCTCGGATCGAGTCTCGGACGAGAGTAGCGATACGAGAGTGGTTTATTAATTGACGAATGAGTTTGTTAATTATTTTTTATTGATTGGGGGTTCTTCAGGTACTAAGATAATGATTTTTCAATCGGCTCACGGCAGAGGGAGGAATGGGGGGTCCCTTGAACATTGCGGAAACCAGTCTCGGATCGAGTCTCGGACGAGAGTAGCGATACGAGAGTGGTTTATTAATTGACGAATGAGTTTGTTAATTATTTTTTATTGATTGGGGGTTCTTCAGGTACTAAGATAATGATTTTTCAATCGGCTCACGGCAGAGGGAGGAATGGGGGGTCCCTTGAACATTGCGGAAACCAGTCTCGGATCGAGTCTCGGACGAGAGTAGCGATACGAGAGTGGTTTATTAATTGACGAATGAGTTTGTTAATTATTTTTTATTGATTGGGGGTTCTTCAGGTACTAAGATAATGATTTTTCAATCGGCTCACGGCAGAGGGAGGAATGGGGGGTCCCTTGAACATTGCGGAAACCAGTCTCGGATCGAGTCTCGGACGAGAGTAGCGATACGAGAGTGGTTTATTAATTGACGAATGAGTTTGTTAATTATTTTTTATTGATTGGGGGTTCTTCAGGTACTAAGATAATGATTTTTCAATCGGCTCACGGCAGAGGGAGGAATGGGGGGTCCCTTGAACATTGCGGAAACCAGTCTCGGATCGAGTCTCGGACGAGAGTAGCGATACGAGAGTGGTTTATTAATTGACGAATGAGTTTGTTAATTATTTTTTATTGATTGGGGGTTCTTCAGGTACTAAGATAATGATTTTTCAATCGGCTCACGGCAGAGGGAGGAATGGGGGGTCCCTTGAACATTGCGGAAACCAGTCTCGGATCGAGTCTCGGACGAGAGTAGCGATACGAGAGTGGTTTATTAATTGACGAATGAGTTTGTTAATTATTTTTTATTGATTGGGGGTTCTTCAGGTACTAAGATAATGATTTTTCAATCGGCTCACGGCAGAGGGAGGAATGGGGGGTCCCTTGAACATTGCGGAAACCAGTCTCGGATCGAGTCTCGGACGAGAGTAGCGATACGAGAGTGGTTTATTAATTGACGAATGAGTTTGTTAATTA